TTCCTTGGCGTGTAGTTGAAGAGAGTGTTGATAGATTTTGGCAGGATGATATGGATTGTTGATTTAGCTTTGGATTGTAGATTCTCTAGTCCGTATTCAATTCTAAAGTTTTAAAGTTAGATGTCAACCTTACCATCCAGTTTAATTTCCTACTTTGGTATACATGTTTTTTTTGTTTTTTTACAACACTGTTTATTTTTTTAGCTCCATGCTTATAGCTACCTTTTAGAATCACAGAAGAAGAAAAATGCATATAACGCATCAAAGTAAACAATGTACACGTGTGCCCTTGAGTTGGAACTCATAAAGTGGATGTACGGAACAGCAGACACGAGGGCGGAGGGCGTGGCAGCTGAATTGATTCACCGTCGCCCCGGGACTCATTTGAGTTCGAAAGGACAATTCGGGTCGCCTTTGGTCACAGTCCCCATGAGCTTATTTCATTAGTCCGTGAATTGAGAACTCGGCTTATTAGGAATATTCCCATGGCGTCACTGCCATGGAAACGCTGTCTTTGCACCCCCTCCACAACACGTACTTTATGGACATAGCATGCAAATTGGAGTTTTATTTGTAAACTCGCATTATGTTCGACCTTGCCTGCTCATGTTTTGCATTGTTTGATGTGGGTGTCATTGGTGAATGCTATCTGGTGGGGTCACGAGAAGAAGAACGGAGTGTAGCAGAGAATAGAATTAATTTGTCAGTACCGACGCGGTACCAACATACTTTGGTAGGGTCTAGGTGTAACATTTATGTGATATATGATGTAGAAAGGTATGTTACGAGATACGCACGTTTAGAAAATACTGTTTGAAAACTACATCCGGTTACAACAACTGATACTAAGTCTAGTACGTGGCGTTTGTTTCTTGTATTATATAAGACACGATGATATGTACGGTGATATTGGATGAAGACTTCATAATCCCGCAAATGTATGTTCAAATCTTCGATGAAATTACGTTATGAAACGAAATTAATCATTCCAAGAAGTTGAACGGTTTCATACTATTTTTTTCACTGGAAAGTGTCCCGAATCCATGAAACAACGAAAAATGGCACAGCGGGTGTAGCATATCTGTTACTCGGAAGTTGATGGTATGCGCGGCAAGTCGACAATGAGTCAATGAATTGACTTCCATACAATAGATAGGATGACAACACCATCCCAAAGACACGCCAAAAATAAAGGATAAAACAGAGATTCAAAAATATACAAGGGCCTTTCAGTGGTGGCGCTATTACCCACAAATCCCTGTAAACAAAAATGGCGCCTTCCAGTACAAGTAAGGGACGTGGTACTGCTGCAAAAAAGAACACCAGTCGTAATAGCAAAAGCCCAAATCGCCGAAAACATGCGAGCACAAGCGACACCAACAACGCAGTGAATTCAACTGAGCAATCAAGAAAGCGGCAGTTACCTAAAAAGAGTGCAGTTTCGAAGGAAGAACAAAGTCGCCCTGGCGGAGCGGATGCCAGCAAAACCAAACAACCGCCGACAACTCGTACAAGACCAAACATGAGACGAAATATTGTTAGAGAATTTGTCTTATTGAATCCGATGAAAAAAGCCTTGGTTTACTTAGCAATTGTGCTTGTTGGGAGCACTATCTACGAGGTAACCACTCCACCGAAAACGTTATTTGCTGACAAGAACAACTATTTAAATCAATATTTCGTCAAATGGTCGTGGGGGTGGACGCTCTCCGCGTTGTCTCTGTACATAATACCATCCAGTTTCGTTGTCCGCAAAGGCGACATAAAGCGTATAGCCAAGGATTACTTCCGATTATTAGTAGGGACTGCTCAATGGTTCTGCTGGGTAAAGCTCTTTTTCTGGATTGAAGACCTGACTGGCGAGTGTTATGACATCAACGGAGAGAAATACACTCGGCACACGACCAAATACCCCTGCGTCAAAGCGGGTCATATGTGGGATGGTATTGATATATCTGGACACACTTTTCTTCTTACACATTGTTCGCTGATTATATTTGAGGAGCTACATTACTATCTTAAGCTGTTCGAAGCCACACGGAAACTGGGCAAGAGCAAGGGCAAAAAAAAGGGACAACCGAAAAAAGACTTGCTAACATCTGCCTTGAATGGCTTTTCTCAATGCATGATGTTAGTTCTTTTACTGATGACCTTACTCTGGGAGTTCATGTTGATATGTACACAGATTTATTTCCATACAATTGGTCATAAAATCTTTGCATTTGTGATATCGCTCATCAACTGGCTTGTCACATATAGAGTAGTTTACAAGAAGCTCTACCCAGACATGCACAGTTAGATTGCATCGCACATCTAGACGCTGGTCATCTTAATCCCACAATTCTGGATACCCCACATTAATAGTAATCAAATTTGTCTTAATTATGGTTAGGTAATCAAACCTGTCGAGACCGAATGTTGTGTACTTCAGCTTTTCAATGGCAAAGCTTTTTTACCATATACATGTAATACAATAAGAACACTTTATTTCAGTTGAATCACTATCTAGCTGAATGTATTGCACTGTAAAAAAAAAAAACAATTCATATACCACTATACTTTTAATGGCTTGCAACTTAGTGGAGTTCTGTTTAACACATCTTGGCCAAGTAATTTTGGTTTGACCGAGAAAAAAAAAACAATGTATAAATCATTCTGCTCATTTGATGTCTGTCTGTCTTTTTGACAGGCATTCAAACAAATGTCAACAAACCTTCCTCTTGATCGAAAATTTCTTCTCATTTACAAAATAGCAATAAATAATCTGGAAAAATTAGACTCTGACAATTGCCTTTCACTTCAATATTGTTATTAGGAAGGCTAATACGCCTGCTGTCAATTGAACTCCATGACAACGTTAATGTCCTGGTCTTCTCTGTTCAAACTGCATAGTCCCTTAGAAATGTTCAATACATTCATTGCAAGGTTAACGCTTACTCTAAAATCGAGATGACCTGGGTCAGTGAGTCAATATTCACTCTGGAGTTGGGATGACGAATGTGTCTAGTGAACTGTTATTCTCTTTGCTAAGAAGCTTCCTATTTAAAAAAAATAGAAGTTTGTCATCAGGCTGTATGCAAATGAATTTTTGCAAATAAGCCGTCCCTCCCAATTTTCTGTAAACATTTAAATTTAGTGCAATTTGTTGTGTATTACTGGTTCTACCTTTTTTTTTAAAAGTGCTGCAAGTTTTGTTCAACATCATGTTTGATATGGGACGTGTAAAACGTGTGTTAACTACATTGTTTATGCGAAACTTGAATAAATGTTTTTTTAAAAGTTTACTAGCACACTTCATTGTTAGTAAGTTTAGCAATGTATAGGAGGAAGCTATGTAATTTTTATTTAATTTAATTCTTCAGGTTTTTTTGGGCTGAACTGTAAAATCTTTTCTCTAAGTTGAATATTAAATGTTTTAGTTGTATTGAGGAGTGGTGATTACCGTAGGTAGTATTTTTAAGTCATGACCAGGGTTTTATTTTTATTATTTACAAGGTATGAATTATTCCTGCCAAAATTGAACACTTTTTTGAGAAAGTTAAATAATTTTAAACCAATGTATTTTTCACTTCACTGAAATACAGGATGTGTCAACATTTTTATTGCAAATTCTCAAAATTAGATGTATTCTGATGTTATTTGATGTTATTTGATGTATTTTTTTTTTAGTTTCACAGTGTTATCTGAAACATGACTGCTTGATCTGACCATAGACCTTCTAAGGTCTAAGATCTGACATGCATGCCGTCTAAGTATCACAATACATGTATGTAGTTTTGGTTTAGGGGTTGGGAAAGATTTGTCATTGTACCCCCCCCCCCTAATCTCAACCTAACCCTGCCCAATCAATTGTAAACATGTATGCCCCTCTGAATAACTATGGGGTGTCCTCAAGAGGGACATATATGGGACTGGATGGTTTGAGTTAGGATTTGGGGGTGTGGTACAATGGAAAGTGTTTCCAGGGTTTGAATGCAATAATATATAATGACTTAATAGCTTAATGAATATTTTCATCAATTTTATCTTGTCTTTAAAATGAATTTATTTGAACCATTAAATTCTGTGTTATTATAGTATTGTTATCCACTATTAAAGTCTCTCCTATGAGAACACTGTAAACAGTTTTCGCCACTATCAATTTTTACAATTTGAATAAGTTGATGGCATTCATGAAAACTGAACTGTGTCTTAAAGTGGGAGGGTCGTCTCCTGCGCACGCACGGGAATTGAATCGATAACAAAACATGCTAAAAACGCAAAGGCTCATGGGTAGACGCTTATTTGTGAACAATGACACGCTATGGCCGCCTGACGCATGCGCAGATGACGACTCCCCCGCTTTAAGCATCCCAAATGTAGTGTTTACTCCTACCGGTGCATAATATTGTGTTTTTTCCTGAATTACTGACCTCAATTTTATTGGTATTGTGTTGCTGCATAGATCAAACACATTTTAGAAGAGTGAAACCTAAGTTACTATTCAGACAACACTCCACTACTCTATACTCAATTAACGGTATATGCAGTAAATCATAAAAAAAAAGGGACAAATATTTTTTAGTCTCCGTTCTAATGTTGTTTGAAACCGTGAACTTATGCATAGACCTTGCATGCATCTGTCCATTCTTATCTATTCTTATCCATTCTTATCCATTCTTATCCAGCCATATCTTTCACATGTTCGGTTATATACAAGTTCAAACTTTGTGAATGCATCAGACATGTACCCATTTATTTCATGATCCAGTTCAAGATAGCAGCCATTTTAAGGCAAAAAATGAAACAAAATCACACATGTTCTCAGTTGTGTGTTGACAGATTTGGTTTAAACTTAATTCATACACTCAACATAATGGCAGCTTGATGCACATCATCCCTGATTTGACACAGTGTAAGGAGATATGGATTGAGTTCCTTTCGTTCGGCGCATTATCTCAGAAGTTCATGGACTGATTTTTTCCAAACTTAGTATATGCTTGATACATGATGGTATACATTATGCCCCAGATTTTTTTCCCCGTTCAGATGTGAAATAAACCAAAATAGGTTAAAGCCTACATTTTATATGTGCAAAGCATCGTCTCTAATTTGTGCTGGATTATATTCAAACTTAGAATATGGTTAACACCTAAATAAGTTTATTCAGATTAGTGCAGGGGCAGTATGATATTTCCTGTAGATGCAAGTTAATTTTTGTTGAGATTCTATGCAATACTGCTGACCAGGGTTGAAACCCTGGTGTAATAATGACCTAATTTGCATAAAAAACAATTGTCAGATTTGAATTGAGGCAGTTTGAGCCAATTTCACATTTTTTCACTACTGAGCATGTTATTGCACATGCATGCAATGCATTATGGGAGAGAGCCTGTTTATATATACCTCAGTAATTTATATGTGTTTAAAAAAAATGTTTTTCGGCATTTTTTGTTACAAGCAGGCATCTATGCTAAACCAAGTAAAGTTCCACGTCAGGGGCGATGCCAATATTAGAAATCATTTTTTGCCCAAAAACTCCCATTTTTTTAAAGATGCATGTCAATTCAAAAATATATAGTTTGACCTTGCGTCATGTCACAATGACCGAAAATATGAAAAGGTCAACACACTTTCCGTGAAGGGTCAAATTCAT